CATAATTTCTGCTAGGGAGGCAAGTGGCAGGACCCAGGCAGAAGAGGCTGCTCAGAGTTGGCAACCGGGACCCAGCTGAAGGTAGATGACCTCCTGGCCAACTAGGGCCAGGAGGACATGCTTTGACAGTTGAAAGCAGGACACCACACTGGGAACATCTTCCAGGCAATAGCTGCCCAGATGGCCGGGCAGGGGCACACATGGCCACACAAAGGCCAACTCTGTGGCCACAGCCCACTGGCAGCTGGCCCAGACTGCCTCTACTGGCTGTGCAGCCCCCCATCCAGATCTGGCAGGCATGCAGCCTTGAGGCCACATGTTGTAGTAGGTGGCAGCAGGTCATAGCCAGGCAGCAGCACCCAGTGCCAGACTGCTGCAGTGGGTAAAGGGTGCAGAGAACTCTCAGGGCTGCTTCAGCAGTCCAGGTGGCACAAGGGGTATTGTCCCCAGGTACCAATTGGCCAGGCCCCAGAAGCTCCTGAGAGCAAGTAGCCCTGAGCTACTTGCCAGGGTGGCTTTTTGTACTGATGGGGCCAGGACAGGGCAGCTTTTTACACTGCTGGGGCCAGCACAGGTGGTGGCCCCAGGCTCTAGCTCCCCCTGGTTGCAGATCTGGGAGGAGCCAGGCAGGGTTATTTTGCCCCAAGTGGCACAACTTGCACTACACCGAAGTGCATGTCTGGGCACGTGTGCCAAGGCAAAAAGCCCTGGCTCAAATTTCCACCACTTCTATTTGAACAGCTGTAAGCCCATGTAGCTGCATGTGTGGATGCACCCTGAAAGGGCAACATCAGGATTCAAGTGAAGCTAACTATATAAACAAGTTTACTTTCAGTTACCTTCAACAGCTTTAAGTACTTTTCCTTTCGGTCGTTCCCAGTCAATAAAGAAAATATCTACAACAAGTTGTGAAATGAGTTTGTGCAAGAATTGCAGAGCCTAAGAAAAAATCACAGAACAGAGTATAAATGCAAACAGGACTGTAGCAGAATTCAGGCAAAGATGAAGAATTAGTTATTACCACCAGGCACTTTTTAATAGATCAAACAAAAATATTAATACCACTCATCCACACATGAGATTGTAACTTCATTATAAAGTTTGATGATATAATAAAATCCGTTTGTAAAGCATTTGATATTTTTAAGAGCTAAGTATGGCTCATGAAGGGCACTCCATGCTTAATTTTATTCAATTTATATGCTGCCCTTCCCAACAAAGGCTCAGGGTGGCTTATACGAAGAAAACAGAATAACTTAAAAATGGAAGAGTGGCAAGAGAACAAAAACAGCTTAAAAGTGAACTAGAATATTAGAATATCAAGATAAAATAGAGACACCCCCCCCCCCCAAAAAAAAAACAAAACAACAAACAAAAACAAAACAACATTTCATCCTAGCTTTGTTTGGTAAATGCCTGCCCAAACAGGAAGGTCTGGCATAGTTGGCAAAATGATGATATGAGATATCCAGCATTGTCAAGACAATGGAAGCAATGTAAACTACATAATAAAAATGTATTCATTCTGGTCACTTTACAGTGGAGGAAAACTGTTTTCTGATGGTACACTGCAGCATGTCATTATTTCCAGTAAAAACATCTAGTGTAACTGAAACACTAGTTTTCCTCATAGAGAGATACCAATAGCTGCTGAAGCCTACAACCATACTGGCATTCTACATTCTACTTTAACAATTTATCTTTTTGGTAATGTTTACTTTGATCTCTAAAAGAATGCAGTCCTAAATTCCATCTTACCTGGGTCCTTTTCTACCTGTACTTTTAAATGAATGAGTCCCTATAGTACAGGTAGAAAAGGACCCAAGTAAGATGAAATTCAGAACTGCATTATTTTAGAGTACATACTATAGAGTATCATTTGTTTTTCTCCAAAAGAATCATTTTTCTCCAAAAGAAGCAAAATTTTATGGGCAAGTGATTTCAGTCACAGGGATAAAATTTAAACCTTTTCTTCCTTTCTTAAAATCTAATATTCAAGACGTCTGGAAATGAGGATGATGAAAAAAATACAGAAGTAGTAAAATGAATCACGACTACCAAAATAACAGAACAGAATTCTTACCTTTAGAGTAAAAGCACATCCTATATATGTAACAAAATGCTTTTCTTGAGATGGAATTGGTAAAAGAACTGAAACAAATTGCTGTGCCTGTAAGCAAAGACCTGCAATTAAATTATGCAGTAACAAAGAGCTCTCACGTGTCATAACATACTAAATTCTAGAGTTGATTACAAAGTCCTGAATACTTTTTAAAAACCATTATCCATTGCATAGAATTATGAACATTGTAATAATTTTCCAATTTTTGAAAGATTTTGGCTAAGTACCAAAAAGGTAACAGGTTGGGAAAAGGTGAGCATGCAGATTTAGACACAGAACACACAATATCATAGATAACTTGCCTCGATAGTCTGGACAGAAATGCAAAAAAAGGAAAATAAAAGTGTGTCAAAACATAAATGGAACATTTCACTTTAAAATTAATCTCTATTAATCTCTACAAATCTGAAAATTGCACTTACTTTGAAGAAAATAAGCCAATAAATCCCTGTTCCCACTGTGATGATAAAGAAAACATTGGCAAGGTCTCCAGCATAGAACAGCAAGAATTTAAAAACAGTCTGTAATTATAAAAGTATATTACATACATTACACATAGTTCTCTAAAACTAGGAATTATTTTATATGCACAAGCTATACACATGAATTATTCATTTGGTAGTGAATACCATAACTGAAAAGTGGTTTCCTTTATAACCTGTTTTCATATGTTCATATATTTCTGATATAGTCCCCTTCTGAAAAGCAGAACTTCTATGCCTGGCCTCTGTTCGAAGGGGGATTATTCTGAAGATTTTGGGAAAAATCCCTTCAGGTATTTTAAAATTATGGAGGACAGTTTTGATGAAGAGCCTTTCACATAATTTTGTTGGGCTATGTTCTAAATGGCAAAAGCAGGGCCCTTGGCACACATTCATTTAAAAGACACCATGGCATGGCCAGAAGCACAGTTCTGAGATTGGTGATCAGATCACAATCATGTCCTTCCTACTTTCCAGTGCAGGACGAGCCAGGGTTCATGAATGAAAAGTTGAAAGTCGGGTGTCTGCAGATCCAGGGCCACGACCAGTGCTGACTATCAGTTGACTGTCGACTCCAGCCAGGGACCACAGTGGGATCTCAAATAGGTCCTGGTGGATCTAGGGGTTGGGCCTGAAGCTGACAATCAGCTTATTGTTGGTTCTGGCTCCAAAAACTGAACTGGGGCTGATTTAAGACCCTGGCAGAGTCCCTGGTTAGGACTTGCTGTTTATGCCACAATTACCATACTAATCATGGTGTAAGTGTAACATAGAGGGGCCCAGGATCCAGAATGGACAAGAAACCAGCAATACTTTGCCCTCAGGTGATCATTCTTTCAAACCACTACTTTATGCAATGAATTTAAAGGGACCTCCAAGAGGAAAACTAGCTCAGCTGCTAGGAGGGATAGAAGTCCTGATTATAACAAAGATATATAAGAGAAAATTATAACAAAGATCCCCTTTAAAGAGAGAGTGCACTGTGCCCCACATTTAAAACTACCAGCCATTTATACCTGCAAGTCAATTACAGAACTTCCAGTACGCCTCTTCCAGCCAGCAGTCTTAAGAAGGGACCATAAAACTGCCAGCCCACCCAGCACACCCAACGCAATCTAGAAAACGAAACATTATTTACAGTTATGTTTTGTCTTTTTACTGATGTTAGCAAAGAACTAAACTGACAGAGGGAAGGAGGGATGTGACTTACATCAGTCTGGATTTGAGCTTCTGATTGACTCATTTCATAATTGACTGAGAAGGAAACCTGCTCATTAAAATACAAAAGTAAATAAAAACATTTAGTAAATCAACTACATTGATACGGAGCATTCAGTTTTGCAAGGTTTTCCCCATGATGGTATACCCCTCCAACTCTAAAGGTTACAGCAGGCTTGACATGGCCCCTTCATGACATTAAGTAAATGGAATTGACTTGTGCGAGATGGAAAAGGTAAACTCTTAATGGAGTTCAGCCACTCATGATTTTCCAAACATAGGAAAACCAAAGAGAAATTCTTTCAAAGGATCTAAAATTGCTTTCCTTAGTTTATATATTTATCTTAAGAAAAAATAATTGGCCATGGTCTAGAAGACTCTGTACAACTGAACCTTTATATGTTTAGCTGTGTGACACTAAGAAAAGCTAGAACTAACAAGAATGTGGAAATGTATTATATATTTAATTTAAAAAAAGACTGAGGGAAGTGGCTGATGCCTTGGTTTCTGAAAACATTTGCTACATTAGCTGGGAGAACAGATGTTGTCACTTTAAATGACTTGTAGAATAAATTAGTTCAGTTCAGAAAGTCAAAAGTTAGTAAGATTCAGGGTAGATTTTTATGAATGTTTGTGTTGACAGTGCAGGGCTCATGTAAAATTTGTCTAAATGGGACAAATGTGGTGCAAAACTGTAACTGAATCTGGCCCCCAAATCACCGGGTATTTTTAGTTCCCTATGAACTGGAATTTTGTAATTTCACCCCCTACATTGCCAGCTGTATGAAAGGGCTTTTCTAAATGAGTGCTTCTTTTCCAATAGAAAAGTGACATTGTTTTAGACAACATAAATTGTTCTGTTATCTAGTATTTTCTGCTTCTGCTATTTCCAACCTCCTTTTCATTCCCTCATGCCACTGGCATTTGACGTAGGGAATACTTTCAATAGTGCATGTTTCTAGTCATAATCTTATCAATATGGGAATTGTTTAGGATGACTGAGATGCATGTGGATTATGGACACACAAACAAGTTACAATGATGTATGCCTGGGTAGCACATCCACAGTACCTACCCATATGCAAGCTCTAATACTGTAGTAGAGGGAAGGCAGCCTCTCTCTCACCAGGAGTCAGGTAAACTACCTTGCATTTTGCTACATGGTCAGAGTGTGCCTATAGGGCAGTCCCTATACAGTAGCTGATGTTCACACACTATTTGCCATCGTGGTAATTTATTACTGGCCCCATACTTTTAGAATGGCAGATCTGACATCAGCACTTTCTGTATATTTACTCATTATGGAATAGCTATCTTGCCACATGAAATCTCTCTTTTTCGTTCTTTAATGCTTATTTCTTGAAAGTGATACACTACTAACAGATAAGACATAACACTGATGGGCATTTTAGATCCATTTCCTCACTTTAAACTGGTTACGCCATGAGGTTGACCCAGAATGTCTATATACCACAGCAACCTCTTGTTAATAAAAATCTATTAAATAAAAATAGGCTATTTCTTAATTTAGAATAGTATATTCAATGTATTTAGTTCATAAAAAGTTGCTTCTTCTAGTCATTCTTCATATGTACGTATATTTTTTCTTTATAATCTATTGGCCTTTCACACTATGAAAGCAATCTTGGGTTACCATTTTTTTTTTAAATGTCTAGGGAACTTAAAGAAAGTGAAAAACGAAAATACTTGACTGATTTGACTAAAAGCATATTACTGATAATTTCAATTTTAACACTGAACATCTGGGGATTTTTTGTTTATTTCATATTTAAGTCTGGAGAATATTTGATTTCATATTTAAGTCTGAGCAGAATGAATAATTCTGTCCAGTTAAGATAATAACAGTGAAGAACCAACCGTCACACTCTGGGTATCAGGATTTTGGACCAGAAGATCGGTGTAGGCAATGGTAATTAGAGGAGGATAGATAGCTCCTCTTTGAGTGTTGGGTACCAGATGAATACTGTAGAAATATAAATAAAAGTATTATTTTTAGTTGGGAAAAAGCATACAAGCTGAAGAGAATATAAAATAGTAAATATAAAATGTGATCAATATAATCAGTAAGAAATATAGCTACAATTTACTTTCAAAAAGTGACAGAAATGCAAAAGGTGCACTTTTTTCCTCTCCACAAAAGAAATTTAATACAGTCTTGATTTTTAAAGACTATTTCCCATATAGAGTCACACAAAACCCCCCTACTTGCCCAGTGTCCAGATAGTTCTGAAAGTATACAAGGGGGAAATCGCCCTTCACTGCTTTCCAGTTCTCTCTTCCATTACATAACAGATTATAAAGAAATGGAGGTGTAAAGGGAAATTTTGATTCTATATGAAAAATCATTTTAGAGGTCCACAGGTATACCGTTTGTCACAGGCGGGGTCCTACAGGAGGGCTGTGATCTCCTCAAGGCCCCTTCCCGTGCTAAGTTGGCCCAAGGGCACCCTCAGTTTCTCGTCCGCCACGTCTTTGATGTTGAAATATGTTAGGGATGCTGCCTTTTCCGCCCTCTTGGGCATGTCTTGCTGTAGTCTCTGCCCTGTGGACTCCCGGACCCCTTGTGGGTCCTGCTCTACAAATGGGTGCTTCCGGGGCGCCCTAGCCTTAGGGGCTATGCATGGCTCCAAACAGCCCTTATACCATGCCCCAAGCCTCGCAGCTGGAATGGACGTTGTCCTGTCCAGGTCTACAATCCCTCTGGCACTCGGGCCCTCCGTGGCCCTGTCTCTCTCCGCGCTCTCTCTCTGGGGCCTTCTCCACAATGCTGTCCCTCTTCAGTTTTGCCGCCCTCCTCTGGGGCCTTCACTATAGCGCCGCCCTCTCTCTGGGGCTCGTCTGCAGTGCCGCCCTCTCTCTCGGGCCTTCTCTATAGCGCTGCCCTCTCACAGGGCCTTCACTATCGCGCTGCCCCCCTCTGGGGCCTTCACTATAGCGCTGCCCTCTCTCTGGGACTCGGCTGCAGTGCCGCCCTTCTCTCGGGCCTCCTCTGTAAAGTCGCCCCTTCTCTAGGGCTCCTCTGTAAGGCCGCCCCCTCTCTGGGGCTCCTTAGTAATACAGTCCCCTTCAGCACGGTTCGCCGCAATGCTTCGCCCTTCTCCGGGGCTCACCGCATTGCTGCCCCTTTCTCCGGGGCTCGCCACGCCCGCACTGGGGCTTCTCAGTAATGCCCCCTCTCTGGGGCTCACCACACCCACACTAGGGCTTCTCAACCGCCCCTCTCTGGGGCTGGGGTCTATGCACCCCGTACGCAGCGCCCTTACTGGCGCTGGGGCCCCCACACCACTGTGGGTCCCTTATGAGGCCTCCTCCAACCCCTAATAGCCTCACCCAAACCACTGGTCATAAACAGCAACACAAAATACAAGCCAATTGGCTATAACTTAAACAGAAGCCGCCTGGCCATAACAATGCTCAAGCCTGCCAGGAAATACTCCATCCCTTCCATGAGAGAGCTCCTTCCTCTTGGGCAGCTGGCAGGGAACTGCTAGCCTGGCCTCAGCCCCTGGGCTTTATAAGGGCCAGGCCCTGCCCCTTCCGGTCAGCTGACCTTCTGTGGTTGCCCCGGCAACCCACAGCTGGGCTCCTTATTCATTCACTGCTAGGGTCCCTTCCCTAGCAGTTTCTCCTCCTTAGGAGCACAGCACCTCAGTGCTCTGCGACACTGTTGAATAACCTTCTCTTTCAAAGCCTGTCCCACCACCCTTGAAAGATAAACCACCATCAGTAATGATCCAAGCGGTGCGCAATTAAAATTGACAGCAAGATGCTCTCCCAAATTAGATACTGCATTAGGAGGGAAAGCTGACAAAATTATATTGCATAAGAACCTATATAATTCTACATATGACCCTTACACCCTGCAGGAGGCACACAATGTAAACATTTAACAGATGCTACCTAGGATCTCCTTGAATGTCCTCTGGTATTAGGTAGGCAGAAAAATGTCTTTTCCAACTCTCAGCATTTATGTATGCATTATCTGATGCGTCCTTTGGTCTAAAATGAACTTGGATTTTACCCATACATCCCACAAAATGTTCAAGAAAAATTATTTGGCCTACACAGACTTAGGCCTCCCTGAATAGCTAAAATGTGGGCATAATTGTTCTACTTATAGATGCAAACTTCAGGAAGCACTTGGGGAAGGACAAAGAAACACTTTAGCCTTACAGAACCAAAATAGCATGGATCAGCTTTCATGCAAGTATCTCTTTAACTACGATAGGTGACTAGGGCAGATACCCAGGTGCGAACTTGGGAGGCAGAAAAAGGCAGCTGCTACTGCACCTGTGCAATCACACCAGCCACATGGTGGCAACTGGAAATTGCCATTGCTCCTGTATGTAGCAGCTGCCCCAGGTGCCTGGCTGTGTTATTATACTTCTGCTCTTCAACTTTCTGGGCTGATATTCTGGCTTTACAGAAAACATAGCTGGTAGACACAACAGACTGAGATCTAAAAAGGGGATGCAAGAGTTCTACAAGAATCTTATTTAAATCTTAAGGCAAAGGCGGATTGTAGACATAAGGCAATAAATGGAATAGTTGTAGAAATGTGGTTACTGTAGGTTGTCAATCTGTGAAGTTCTTTTGGGTGGAAGGGGTGGAGAAAGTGGGATGAGATGAAATAGCCAAGTGTACCTTGAAAGCTCAAGACCGGTCTGATTATTTTAAAGTGATATATCATTGAAGAAAAATAAACATTTGATGCTATTGGATCCAATACCTCTTCAACTATCCCTGTGAACAATCTAGTCCAATTTAATAAGTAGATCTGGCAAGTCAAAACCTAAACGTCCCAAAGGATTTTTGGATTAGCAAAATACTAATGATACCAGTAATTCAAAAAACAAGTTGTTAGCAAATCCATTTCCAAGCACTTGGAGAAGAACAAGGTAATTAGGAAAAATCAACATGGATTCACCAAGGGCAAGTCATGTCTGATCAACCTTATTACCTTCTATGATGAGATGACTGGCTCCATGGACACAGGAAGAGCAGTGGATGTGATATAACTTGAATTTAGCAAGGCTTTCAATATGGTCCCTCACAAATTTCTTGCAAGCAAGCTACTGTAGTACAGATTGGATGAAGGGACTGTAAGGTGGACAGAAAACTGGCTGGATCACTGGGCTCCCAGAGTAGTAGTCAATGGCTCAATGTCAAGTTGGCAGTCAGTATCAAGTAGAATGCCCCAGGGGTCAGTCCTAGGGCTTGTCATGTTCAGTAACTTCATCAATGACCTGGACGATGGGATGGAGTGCACCCTCAGCAAGTTTGCAAATGACACCAAGCTCGAGGGAGTAGTAGATATGCTGGTGGGTAGGGCTAGGATTCAGAGAGACCTAGGTAAATTGGAGGATTGAACCAAAAGAAATCTCATTAGGTTCAATAAGAAGCGCAAAGTCCTGCTGAGGTGGCCAACAGCAATTTGGGCTACATTAGGAGGAGTGTTACCAGCAGATTGAGGAAAGTGATTCTTCCCCTCTATTTGGCGCTGGTGAGGCCACATTTGGAGTACTGTGTCCAGTTTCAGGCTCCCTGTTACAGAAAGGATGTAGACAAATTGGCAAGAGTCCAGCAGAGGGAAAAGGAAAATGGTTAGCGGGCTGGGGCATATGACTAATGAGGAGAGCCTTAGGGAACTGGGCTAATTTAGTTTGGAGAAGAGAAGACTGAGAGGGGCTTTAATAGCAACCTTAAGCTACCTGAAGGGTGGTTCCAAAGAGGATGGAGCTAGACTGTTCTCAGTGGTGGCAAACAGAAGAAGGAGCAATGGTCTCAAGCTGCAGCAAGGGAAGTTTAGGTTGGAGATTGGGAAAAACTTTCACTTGGAGGGTAGTAAAGCAGTGGAACAGGCTACTCAGAGAGGTTGTAGAATCTTTGGAGATTTTTAAGACCCAGATAGATAAAACCTTGACTGGGATGATCTAGTTGGGGATGGTCCTGCTTTGAGCAGGGGGTTGGACTAGATGGCCTCCTGAGGTCCCTTCCAACCCTAATTTTCTATGATTCTATGGTCGAGGCACTGCAAATGTAGATAGAGACTCTCACACTTATCATGAAACAAAAGAACCAGCAGACTGGGAAGTAGAATTTGCAGTACTGACATCAACTACAGGGCTCCTTATACATGTATTCTTGGGGTGGGGGGGAAGAGAGGCACTTTATTTAGTGAGGCTCTGAGAGCTGCTCCAATTAAAGCACCAGAAGCATCAGCGTCCCCGCACTGAAAAATGGCAGCGGGGGCAGTTTAACTAAAGCTTGGTTGCAGTAGAGCAGTTCTAAATTATAGTACATGCATATGATCCTCTTGGGGAACTTATCCCAGTGAAGAACACGGTATAGTAGGACACTATTACACTGCCTCTTCAATGCCAAGGATGTACATGCAGCTGGCACAGAAAATAAAGAACTGCTTCTGCAAAATTTCTGCCAGCTGAGTGTTTTCCTGCAAAAGAAGAATACTCTACTGGATCTCTCCCAACATTTTAAGTTTATATTGCATCATTTATTTGGTACAAAAAAGGCTTAGCAAACTTCAGAATTCTACCTGCATTCTCAAATGATGGACAAAAACCAGAGTGGCCCGAGCTCCCGCAAGATGCATTCAAAATGCATATTCTCATTTTAATGGAAGATACTCCTCAATCTGCCCTAACGAAATATGTCTCTTTTTTCTTTTAACTCTTCAACAGAAAAGGTAGCACAAGGTATATTAGGACAGATGACACATCCTGCACTTATTCACCTGATTGTTATTTTGCTAGCAATTCGAATGATTCTTGGTTGTTTTTTCAAGTCATTCTCTTTTCCACTCAAGGCATCCACCAAAAAAATTCGACGGGTCAGAAGCCAGTTGTTTCTATTACTGCCTTTGAAAGAAAAATAGCAGTGTCATGTAATGCTTAAAATTAGTAACTGAAAGCCACAAGAGTGAAATCAATTACACCAAAATAAAAGCAGCATGCATTATTGTATTCATGCACTCTTACATATTTTTTGTTGCTTCAATAGAACTATATTAAGAAATTCCTGAGATTAATCGCTCTGCTAAATTATGTTTATTTTAATGTTCATAACTCTGTTTCCAAGAGTTACCACTATCCAAAGGTCAGACTACTTCCAGAGAGAGAGAGTGCGCAAAGAAAGAGGCTGCAGGTAGTTGGTGATCATTTAGTTTCATAGTTGGTAGGGTCGGAAGGGACCTGAGCAGATCATCAAGTCCGACCCCCTGCCATGGGCAGGAAAGAATGCTGGAGTCAAACAACCCTGGCAAGGTGTCTAGCTAGCCTCCTTTTGAAGATCCCCAGGGTAGGAGTGAGCACCACTTCCCTTGGAAGTTGGTTCCAGATCCTAGCCGCCCTGACTGTGAAGCCTCCTGATATCTAGCCTGAATCTACTCTCTGTCAACTTATGGCCGTTGTTCCTTGGTACTCCCGGTAGTGCTCGGGGGAACAGGGACTCTCCCATAGCCTGCTGGTCCCCCTTGGCCAGTTTGTAGACGGCCACCAGATGTGATTCTTCTCTGCAGATATTGTTTAGGAGTCCAAGATAATACATACAGAGACCAAATATGACCTTTATTTTCCATATGTACTACTTCAGACCGAAGCAGCTCCCCATGCCATGTGAAAGAACAGACAGAAAATCAAAGTTAACTAACTCTATTATATATAGACTTCAAATCCATTTCTACATATTAGGATGCAGGAAGGCCCATATACTTATGAGATCTCTTTTCAAATTGCCTTCTCCCTTCCCAAAATGAAGAGATCTTCCATGACCTTTTCAATATTGGCTTAACTATATATAAAATCAGTCAGGCCATTGCAGACCCAGCATATGAAGCCAAAGCCTGTTAATATTGCACAGAAGTGGGTAGGTTTTTGGCTCTGAAAGATTAAGTTTATAATACTAAGACACCTTGTTACAACAATGGTGAACTGTGATATCTTTAAAATGACTTAGTGATTTTTCAGAATACATACAAACTATTTCCAGTGATGATTTATAACCTAATTTAATTCACTGAAAGCATAACTATTATAACATTCCTACCTTGATTCACAAGCATTTCATTGTATTGAAGGTTTAAGTTTAAAACTGGTATAGCCCAAAGATATTGTTGTCCATTATCTTCAGGATATTCAAGGTACACATCATAAAATATTGGCTTAGGAAAACTCATTAAAATCTTGGACACAGAAACTGTACACTATAAAAAATGTGATTAGAAAAGGTCATGTTAATCATCTAACCATTTTATTCCATATTTTAGAGTTATGTATTATTCCCTATAACTATTCAGGTATCTGCCTCTTGCAACTTGAATGAGACAATGCATTCCAACAATATTTAATTTACTAAAAATTATGGATTTAACTAATAGTTGCAATTTGTTTCAAGGGTAGAATTTCAAACTGTGAAAGCAAAGCTTTGGCTGTTTCCTTTTTCCTCATTTAAAAAAAAATACTGAAAAAACTACTATGAAAGTTCATAGAACAAAACCTGTATTAACAGAAAGCTGAGTTTGAATGAATAGGCCCTCAAATCAGAAAATATTAAAATTAAAATGAAAATGTTAATTACATTAAAGTGAAAATGTTTTTTCTTTGTATATGTGAATTAAATTGTAGTCTTAAATTTAAACAACCACACAACACTTCTTGGACATACCATTTTTTTCCAATGGGTTTAGAGAAATACCACAAGAAAATACTGTGACATATACAAAAAATAACTGATTTTTTGTCAGTTATTACTAAAAAACATAGTAAGCTAGCCTTACAAAATATCCTGCATATTAAACATATAAAATGAAGCAGTAGCAAAAATTTACTAGCATGTCTGTGTCATCAAGACTCATAATTAAACGTTAACTGTCTAATATTTTTCAATATTTCCAAATAGGACTATGGTACTCATTGAAGGAAATATATATATTACATAGTATCATAGTAGCTAGGGTCAGGAGGGACCTGAACAGATCATCTAGCCTGACCCCCTGCCACAGGCAGGAATGAATGCTGGGTTCACAAGACCCCAGACAGGTGATCATCCAACCTCCTCTTGAATTTGCCCAAGGTAGGGGCGAGGACCACTTCCCTGGGAAGTTGGTTCCAGATTCTGGCCACCCTAACTGTAAAATATTGCCTTCTGATCTCTAACCTAAACCTATTCTCCATCAGCTTATTACCATTGTTCCTTGTCACCCCAGGTGGTGCTGGGGAGAATAGGGCTCTGCCTATTTGCTGTTGATTTCCCCTGATGAATTTGTAGGCAGCCACCAGGTCCCCCCCCCGCCCCCCGTCAGCCCCCTCTTGCTGAGGCTGAACAGGTTCAGGTCCCTCAGTCTCTCTTCGTAGGGCCTGTCCTGCTGCCCTCTCACCAAATGGGTGGCCCTCCCCTGAACCCTCTCCAGGCTGGCCACATCCCTTTTGAAGTGCGGCGCCCAGAACTGGATGCAGTACTCCAACTGCAGCCTGACCAAAGTCGCACAGAGGGGGAGTATCACCTCTCTGGACCGGCTTGAGATGCACCTTTGGATGCATGACAAGGTATGGCTGCCCTTGCTGGCTGCGGTCTGGCATTGGCAGCTCATGTTCATCTTGGAGTGAATAATGACTCCAAGATCCCTTTTTGCCTCTGTGCTTTCAAGAAGGGGACTCCCCAGCCCGTATGTGTGCTGTGGATTCCTTCTTCCAAGGTGCAGCACCCTGCATTTGTCTACATTGAACCCCATCCTATTCTCGTCTGCCCACTTTTGTAGTCTGTCTAAATTTATTTTAAAAATCTAAACATTTAAAAACAAATTTAAAGAAATCTAAAATTTAAAAAATGTTACATTTTTTATTTAAGGTGAGTTACTACCTATAAAAAGATATATTAGAATTATAATGAAATCAGTGGAAAAATATGGAAATGTTTAGAAAATATTACTTACATATTATAGATTAAAAAAAAAAAGCCATACAGTACTATATTACTAGTATATGGAACCTTAGATTTGGAATTTTCTAAGATTTGAGCATTTCAACATGCAATATGACCATTTAATTCACAGTTTAGTTTTCCTCTGTCTACAGAAATCTTTTGTTACCTTGTAATTTAAGCCTGAATTCAAAACTATTTAAAATATTAATCAGATATAAATACAATTTTTATGGCCAGGTACAGACATTACACTTTTACTGGTATAAGTGATTAGAAACCAGTCTAGATCCGCAACAGAACAGAAGTTTACCCCACACAGGTTTAAAAATGGTGGAGCCTGTTTTAAGATATGCCACCCTCCGCCTCACCAAAAGGCAAATGTGTGCTCTGTTCATTACTGATCTAAACTACGCTGTGTGAAGAAAATTGTGTAACTTGATCGATTCTGCCTTGGGCTTTTTAAATGTCTGTACCTAGCTAGCCTTTATGGGGTTCCAACTAGTCAATCTGTGACTCAATTTGCTGAATTATAGCAACATGAGTCTTAGTAGGACACACGTTATCCTAGTCACAATGATAGCAAAGAGCAATTTCAGCAAGCATGGTCCAAAGTATAAACAGGCACACAAACTATAAAAACAGCACCAAGTTGAATGAGATCAATGATTAACAACAGGAAGTACGTTTTTATATCTTTTTTCAATATCTGACCCCAGATAGTAGGACTTCACATTTTTGTTATAAAGGAGCAAAGACAGCTTAGACTTTTACTAAAAATAATTGGATTAAACACTTCAGAATGTAAAGACAAAATGTTGGCAGCAGTTGTAGCTTAAGATTTTCCCAAAATGCAACCAGCATAAACACGTAATGCACTTTTCCAAGAGCAGCTAAACTAATAAATTATATTAATGAATAAATAAATGTATACTAGATTCTGTACAGACACATGGACCATTTGGTAAAAGTTAGCTGCCTCCAAGAAAATCCCAGCAGGTAAAATAAATACCATCTTCCCCATTTACAAGAGAAAAACAGACAAGTTAAAGCTGGAATGTAAAGGATTCAAGTCTAGGGACTTCAGGCTTTGTGCGAGTCAGCATCAAGTGAAAGATTTAAACATTCCCACACTGTGCCAAGCCTTGTGCTCATTTTGTCTGATTTTAGTGTACAGACACATAGCATTATTATGAGACTTAACAAATAAATGTATTCACTCTATAACTATAAAAGCTGAGTAAGCAACAGATTCACAACAGTTAATTCAGTGCCACAACTCAAGGCTCAACTCCCACATTGCCTTCACATACACCCTATTACTGGCAAGATATAAATATTACCATATAAAAGGTTATTTCATGCTTACACTTTGTTGATAAGTTGTTCCAAAAATATAAGCAGCATCCAATCGAGTCAGAGTGTCTGGACAAAGCTATACAAAACCAATATGAGGTCAGACATACAAAAATGTAATAGTCTCAATCTGTAGAACATTTATAAGGACCTGTGTAATTTCTCTCTCTGAAGTTCTAATTAAAGGTTACCAAGAGATACTGTTTTTAAATTCTGAAGAGAGGAAAACTACATTATTTACCATAATACCTTTTGTGGTCTGAGAAAATTGCCTCGACTTATTTACATTTCTCGAATGCTCTCTATTCTACCACTGAACTTCTTGAACCTTGTGGAAAGAAATGCCTAACCAGACTGCAAAAACATCCTCTTGTGGCATTGAGCACTCCTGCCTAATATTTTTAAGTTACTGCTGCTGCATCCAAGAGTTTTATAGGAATGAGTGGGAGGCAAAGATGGGGGAGTGGCGGCAGAGGCAACATTCTCAGAGCAGCAAAATGACTCCGGCATGTAACAATATTCTTTTCTTTGAGGTGGATTCCACATTTTCCCCACTTGGAAGTGTAGCAAAAAATGTAGCTCCCAGAAACACAGGCTTCTGATTAAACAAGGACTGAAGAAGCATCTAACCAAGACAGGATGCAAACATAGATATCAAATTCAACTATAACTCCAGGAATTACACCTATACTATCCATATCACTTCAGTCCCAAAACATATAACTAGCTAAACTTTTAAATTATGCATAAGATGAAATGTTAAGTAGACACTGGGTATGTCTACATGAGACGTTTACTGAGGAGCTGACTAATTAGCTCGGCAGTAAAATCTCAGCATCTACACACAGACCTATTAGGCCGCAGTAAACTAACAAATACTACCGTAGGATAGTATTTGTAAACACAAGTGCTATTTATGGCAGCATTATTTACTGCACATGCAGATGCTGATGGGGCTGGCTGGGGCATGAGGGTGCCTGTAAGACCCACACTGGAGCACCCTTGTGACCCAACCAGCGCCTCCGCAATGCGCTGAGTTGGGTCAGAGCAGCCCCAGGCTGGCAGGCTGACCCTCTGGACACTCTGTTAGCCAGGGCTGCTCTGACCCAGCTCAATGTGCTGTGATCCTGGGCTCGCACGTAAATACAGAGCCCGGGAAGCAATAAACTTCAGCGCAAACTACGCCAGTTTATTGCTTTGCATTAATAACACATGTAGACACACCAATTGAGTAAAAATGGCATTCCTCTTACACAGATCCCCAAATATTATAAAGGAATTTACATTTGGGAAATTAACTGCAAATTGACCCAGTTAAAATCTCAAGACCATCATAACTTTGGAGGCAGAGTATAGAGTTTCAACTGGGTAAAGAATTACCATGGGTATAATGAATTTGGAGTTCAGCAATAAGATTTAGGTGGAATGGATACTCTACTCCTGGTGTAAATTTGGGAGAAGGTAAAAGCAAGTTTTACCTTGACGGAATACTGTTAAAAAATTAGTTATTAAAACTGCAATTAATTCACCCTTCTGCAGACCCTGTGCATGTTTATGTGTACCCATACCCCAGGAGCTGTCCTTATGAGTGTGCTAAACCCTGCTTTTCCTATGCTCAAGATTTATAATACTGATGGTGGTGTGGAGCATCTAGAAATATGTACATGGAGATTCAAACTTGAACAAAAAGAAACACCTAAAAAGATAATTTATTAGATATTCTAATACTGTAGTCATGATAAGATTGTTGTATAGTAATTGTAGTTATTTGAACATTCATGTGCTATATTAATGCTTCTCTCTTTCACCATTTAGGCTCTTTGCTAAAGGTACCTAGCATTTTATATTAGTAAACTTTTTGATGCACTATATCAAACTTACCTGTAAGACACCTCCTTCCAAACTCTGCCATTTAAGAAAGTTTCCCTCTACGTCATATGAGGCTGCGATAAATTGCAGTTTTATATTCTGACAACAGAAGTGAAAAATAGTTTTGAAAGACTGAAATAAAGTTTTAGAGACTACTATGCTGTCATCCAACATATTCTGAGTATGCCCCATATAACATTTAATTTTCTCTTTCTTATTTGTAAAAATTAATATTAATTATAATTCTTGATTATAGAAGTGATTAACCTGCTATTGTAATTTACTTTTTGGTGTCTCCATGATCAGCAACTTAAATGATATGAGAAGTAGATTTGATTTGAACAGTACTGATACAACAGTTTTTGTTGTAATGTCCCGCTTGCTCTGAATTGAAACATTGCGTGGAGGCAGTCTGATGAAGTTCTTCTGGAAGCCAGACAGGGCTCTAGTGGATCTCAGGCTGGTGACCCCAAAGACTGTGTCCAGATGAGCATGGCCATGTGGTGTCGCAAACACATCTGCGGTGTCACACACCACACATTTAGATGTTCTCTGTGCTGTGAGGGCGTGCTGCCCGTGCATGCATTGCTCTTTTTCCTTGGGATATCCAGGGGTCAACCCCCAACCCCCGCCCAAACCTGCAGGAAAAAGACTGCAGAGCAGCGCACACACAAGCAGTGTGCGCTGTTCAAAAGTGGAGCCAGGTTGCCCAGAGCCATGCTGCAGGCTCAGGAAGCCACCAGGACCCCAGGTAAGGTTGCTGGAGCCAGCCCAGTGCTGGCCCCAGTTTCCCCTACCCAACCCAAGGTAACTTGCTGTGCACCAAAGCACGTGTGGTATAGCAAGGTGGGTGGCACTGCGTGGGTGGCAAGGTGCGCCACCACTACTTGTCCCTGGGGAACCAAACGTCCATACTTGTCTGGATGCAGCCAAAGAGTCCAAAATCCCTGACTTAATAGAAAAATATGGATCTTTCAAACATTAAAGAAGTTGCATTGCAGTATTACTCTAGTTAAAAAACACTAACTGTAGATGAAAAGTTGGTCTGGTCAATGTCTTTTTTTTTCTGATTCAGCTGTAAAAATTTTAAGACAAACATAGTAATATAATAAAAAAACAGGTTGTTACAACTAGTACTTATTTTTGATGCTTTACTCATATTTTACCCACCTAAATAAATTCTATAAACTTCTGAAGACTGCTTGCAAAATATAGAACAATTTCAATTCCTGTAGGAGAAAGGGTGCCTATACATGTGCAGAGTAGGCATTTCCAAAGGTGCTGTAACTTTTGAGCTTTACTTAAAGTTTTTAGGTAAAGCACCTTAAAACTTAATAGATATTCCTAGGCTCAGGGCAAGTTTCATGCCTTGCTGTAGTTCTGTGGAGTAGGAGGCAGGGGGTACCAGAAGCTGCACAATGCAGCCTGAGGCTCCAGAGCTAGCTACACCTGGAGGTAGCAATTAGTAATTACTAGGGATTTTGGCTTTCTCCATTTAGAAATCCCAAATTCTCTGATTTAAATTAAAAAAAAACACAATTTCCCAAATTCTCTGATTCAACCCCCGCAAAATCCACATTTTCCTGTGATTAAAATGAAATGTCACTCTATATATAGGTATCCATTGAACACAAGGTTTTATTGATATGTTAAACTGATATTTTAAAGTAAGTTGGAAGTCTACCAGTGCCTCAATCATTATAATAAAATAAATTTTAAGTACTTGTATATTTTGGCATTTGATTTTGGTTTATCATAGAAAATCAGAGCTCCCCTTGCCTTTTCGCTCACCAGGATGTGGGTCCGGCTGCGGCTGTCACCCCACTGCTTTGCGGTGCTTAGATGTCTCGATATGCTGGTACCCTGCCTCTGATGTTGCCCCTCACTCCCAGGCCACAGGTCCCCCAGCCCTGCCGGTGCCCCTCGCTCCCAACGCAGAGCTCCCCAGCCCTGTGCCCTCTGGTGGCACATGCTGCTCCAGATTTCTGTGCCCATAGTGGGGCACGGTGCAGCAGCTGGGCCAGATCATTTCTGGGCAGAAGCCACCTCCATGGCCCAGCAGGAGAGACCCAACATGGGAAGGAGTGCTGTGCTACCATGGCTACCAAGGTGAGGTGTGGCAGCAGCGGCAGCACAGATTTGTGCCTGAGCTGCTGCCGGGTGGCCAAGGGGTGCCTCAACTTGGCAGCCATGGCAACACAGCACTCCCTCCTGTGCTGGGTCTGCCCACTGAGCCACAAAGGCAGCTTCTGCCTGGAGCTGGTTTGGTCTGGCTGTAGCCCCACACCCTGCTGTGGGCACAGAAATCTGGGGAGGAATGTGCTCTCTCACCCTCCACAACATGTGGCTAGTGGCCCCTGCAACGTTCTGATGGCCTGTGGGCCCCTCCCCTCCCCTGCACAGACTTACCTGGAGGGCCTAGCTGCCAAATGCATACGTGTGCGCACATACACGTGGTGCCTCCTGCTCCCCCCCCTTCTCCAGCAGCCCTTTGCAGGCTGGAATTCTGCCAGCCTACAAGAGGAAATGTTTCTCCTTTAAAGGAAAAATCCATGTTTTTCTCCTTTAAAAGAGAAAATCTGTGGTTCTCTCTTTTAAAGTAGAAAAACACAGATTTTATCTGGCAAATGGAAAACCCAGATCCTTAATTACTCAGAAAACCCAGTAATTACCACTTTGAAAAGCTCCAGTTAAATACACATGCAATAAGGACAAACTAGGTAGGCTGAGAAGCACTACTGCAGTTCACTTTACATGTAAAACACATACAATGAGGTTTAATTAAGGCATCTTCTGCCATTTAAAAATGTTCTAAAGTCGCTCATGTGTATTGGCAGCTTTAGAATGCTTTAAAAGGCAAAAATCATCACTTGTATAGGCACCCATAAATTATGACTTAGACAATGGGCTGAACAAATGTGTGGTACACAATTAGCTTTAAGAATGATACTGGGTATGAATTTGGCTGTTAAATAAATATAATAACTGCCTATACCACATAATGCTTACCTTATTTGTTCCTTTAAAACTGAAGCCTGTAGGAAACTGGGTTGTATCAAGTACTTGAGATGCTAACCCTGGCTGGTCACCATAGTAGATCCATGGCAGATAGTGTCTCCTAGAAATAATTAGATTTTGTTTAATATCTAGGAATTTAATGTTTATTGTTAGACTTTCATTTTTAATACCTGTTCTATGAAAACACTGATATTGAAAAAATGTGTGGATACATTTATAGAAGAGGTAACATACCAGAAGGATATTGAATGAACAATGCCTAGCCCTGCTGTATTTGCGTAGATATACTGGAACAAACCACATGCATCAGTACTGGCAGAGCTTAGAGAGTTCATATTCATAACACACATATTTCCCAGTGCTTGACATGAAGTTAGATTTGAATAGAGCTGCAAAGAAAATTAATAAAAAGAATTATATTTAAGGTCCACATTTTCCGGCATGTTATTTAATGTTCTGAGACTTAACCATAAGGCTCTTCTCTCTCTCCTGCATTCTGTCAAAAAATGGTCCAATTAATCAAAGCTGAGCTAATAAGCAGTGGCAGCAGCAGCTACAGTAAGAAAAAAAATCACTGAAGATTTAAATTAAAAAAAAAAAATCACTGGTATATATAAATGAGACTTCCTTTCCTTTTTTGTGTCCGTGATGAGGTATTTAGCCGAATTTGCAAATTTGTTGGAATGTGAGAGGCCACATTGAGCGCTTCTGCTATGCAGCCATGTGCCTTAGCACCCATGCTACCCCAGAACCCATAAATGGGACTAGAATCCCAGGAATTATAGCTGTACTATTCATGTTGCTATAGTTCTAGAACAGTGGTTTTCAACCTTTTAACATTTGCGGACCCCTAGAAATTTTGAAGAGGTGTAGACCCCATTAGAAATTTTGAATGATGGTACAGACCCCTCTGAATTGTAAGTGTGGGTATTCACATACTTTTGATTGATCAATATTCATCTTTCATGGACCCCTTAGACAGTCTGTGAACCTCTAGGGGGTCCACGGGCTCCAGATTTTCAACCACTGTTGCAGGACTTCTAAATTTAATACCTTAACAATCACTAAAGATTTACATTTAAATCTTAACTGTCAAAAAATATTACTTTACATAAACTACTCAGAATCCTCACATTTAACACCATTTTTTAGGATAAATCAAACTCAAGACCTACACAATCTCAAACTTGTATTTTTCTTCTGGGAGTGTATTCAAAAAGGATTTTTCACTTGATTTGGAATAAATTTCCTATACACATGTATAGTTCTCACTAGCACTAAGTATTGCCTGATATTTTTAAGATTAGTGCATCTTCCCCCCTTTATATATACTATCATAAAATAAGTTTAAAAAAAATAAACACATTCATTACCAAAAACTGAAGTCCAACGCATGAGCTATTTCAAAACTTAGATCAGAGCGCTATTTCTTCGAGGTAAAATACAAGATACATGTTTAAAGCATATTCAAACTCACCCAGCAAGCAGCTGCTGATGCTTGTAGATTTTTTTGAAACCACGCTGAAGTCACTGCTATACCCTGTAAATAAAGGAATGTTTTTGTGCTCTTTATGAACTCTGAATTGGACAAGTAATTAACACAATATGTCACAGTCTGAAAAATAATAGTGTGTGTCAACTGGAAGATGAAAGATTTGGCACAATTTTCCTGTCTTCTAAAAGTTTTGTTCTTGAGAAAGATCAATTCCAAAGGAAAAGTATATCTTTTGATGATACTAAACATGTCATCTATAGCAAAATAATTGGTTCTGCTTCAACAGGTTACATTTTGCCTAAGACAACTGAATCAAAGAATAAGAAAAAGAAACAAGCTTCCAACCAGCATGTTGTTCCATAGGGGCAGACTTCAAGGGTAAGGGTCTGATTATATGGAACAGCTTGAAATTACAGCAACTTATTTGCTGAAATTTTTTGTTTTACTCGTGGCAAGCAAGGTTCTTTGGTTAGACGTGGCATCTTTTATTAGACCAACTGAGTAGTTGGAAAAATGTTCTTTACAAGCTTTTGGGTGCAATCAACTATCTTCAGGCGTAGGGAGTCTCTGCTGTTGTTCTGTTGTTTTACTCTTAGCTTTTGATAACTGTAACCATAAGAAGAAAATGCAACTAGATATATGGGGTGGGAAAGTTTTTTTAATGAAATGTGAACAAATGATGGCATGTGCTTTCAATAAATGCATATACTATTTAGAAGCAGGCATTTTCAGAAAGTGTGACTACAGCTTGCTTTGAAGAAAAACAAATTTTCTATTGCTGTCTTTTCCATACAGTACTATTCAGTTCTGCTTTAACCTATAAAAACTAGTTTGGCACTCCTGACTTCAAGTCCTACTGATATTTTTCCAGACAGCTACCATTTGAACAGGTTTCCACAAACAATATACATTTACGACACTGAAGCTACCAATTATTCTAATGTCAAAAACATTTTTTCTTCCAATGAAAAGAAGATATTTGTACTGTCCTTAGCATTTTCAAAACGACATTGATTTACTACACCCTTCATTAGTTTTTTAGTATTAAAGGGAAATGTGTACAGAGATGATGATTCAATCTCCTCCTAGACCTTCATTTGGATTTTTAAAAACTACAATTTGACACTGAAATGCTCATGATCCCTTATGAACTGTGTAGTTGGGAATGTATAAATTCTGTAGAAAGGTCCTTGGATTCTGTGGTACACTGTTGTGGAGGCCTAGAAATAACACAGCAGTAAAATTTAAAAAAATATGGATTTCAAAATGAAAAGGAAAATAAAAAATACAATGAATACATAAGACCATATATTTGTTTTTGTATTCACTTCAGTGAACTCTTAAACCATCTCCACATTTTCAGTAGCTACATATTCCACTAGTGGCTACATACTTTGTTTCTGTTTTATAGGCTGAGAACACAGCACATGTTGGGATCTCCATTTATGGTGCCATTCTCCCCACAATCTCCTTGTGTGCCACCTTCCCTTCCTTTATGGCACTCACTGCTCCCTCTTTCTCCTTCCTGATGTCAGAGAGGTGTGTGCCCTCTTTTCCATCTGTTCCCACAAGAGGCTCAGGAGCTCTATTCTCTTCCCCACCAAGGTTTCTGTGTACCCCCACTCATGTGTGTCAAGCATTAGCATAACAGGGGTGGGAGGGGAAGGAGGGGCACCAGCCCCAAGAGCACAGAAATGATATCCCCACTCCCCTAGAGTCTTTGCTGCCCTGTCCCCTCTGGCCACAGGAGCCGAGCTGGAGAAGCTCCCCACCACTCAGCTGTAGGGGCTGCATGCCAGAAGATAGCAGGAACAGCCCTCAATGCCCAGCCCTAGAAGCTGATCAGGGGCAATTCACAGCACCTGGTTACAGGAGCCGGGTGCAGGGACATGGCAGGAGCAGCAGGGGTCTTTGAGTCTCAAGGGCAGGTAAGTCTCTCCTACAGCTGGGCAGTGCATACTGTTCCAACTCAGCTTCAAGGGCTGGGCAGCACAGGGCTACTCCTACGGTGTCATGACACCTAGCTCTTACAGTCAGTGTGAGATTTCTCCACCTCAGCTCCTATGGCTAGGGGAGCATAGGGCTGCTCTAGATGCAACAAAGGAGTGCTCACTTTCCCCCTTCTCCACCAAATTTTCCCCAGGGAACTAACATTTAAACTTGCACCTCTGGTGTCAAGGCCCTCATTCTTCCCTGTTTCCAGGAGCTGTGCATCTCTTTCCCTCTACGATCATTTCCCCCACCATATAAACTTTGACATCTCACCCTAAGGGGATTCTGTGACCCACCCATTCCAGTGGTGTACCAGGGTTCCTTCCCCCACCCTCTATACCAGTGCTTCTCTTTGCTCTTCATTTCATTCCCATACCAGGATCCCAAACTTCTCACACCATGTCAGAGGCTGCATGCACATCATGTTTCCCTCCACATTAAGGCCCATTATTCTCCCTCCCTGTCTAGGGTTCAATGTGCTCCTTTTCCCCTCATATGTCAGGATCTTGTTCTCTCACCCTTTGGTAGGGGCTCAATATGCACCCTATGCCTAAACCCTTCTACCCACAATTTTCTTTTTTTTTTCTCTTTTAGGAGACTGCTCCAAATTAGCTGACCTGAGAAAGGGCATCTGATGCCCAAAAGCTTGTGCTCCCAGACAATACAGTTGGTCCAAAATAGGGGTTGGTAACCCACAGAGCTATTTGATGCATCCTACAGACATGGGGCTTAGGTAGGATTCAGTGGTGGATGGCTTCAGCAGCGGTTGCTCTTCCCATGTTGCTGCAGGAGCAGCTAGATTCTAGCACCCCTTGTCTGCCCATCTCTAATTGGAACTGGGTCAATCTGACTTGCAGCCTTAAAAGGTTGCTGACCACTGCAGTAAAAGAAAATCACAAATAAAGCCTTGCTTCTCATTAAAACTTAATAAACAGCTCTTTTCCAACTAAGCGGTAGAGTGGTTTCATGGCTGACCTCTGACACTCCTTTACAAAGTGCTACTGAGTGATGATTGATAACTCATGCCCCAGAACACAAAGTATTTTTCAAGAGGTAAATGAACATTATTCCCCTTTTCACTGATGGGGAAATGGAGTCACTGAAAACTACTGTCTTGGTAAAGGTCTCACAACAAATTATGGGACATTACTTGAGTTTTGTGACGTCCAGGCTATAATCAGACCACTTACTGCTCTCCTTAAAAGGTAATAATTTAGCACTTAAGCCATGCTATCATTTATGTAGCAGGACAAAACAAAGCACGGAGAGTAACTAACTAAACTGACTTTGCCTCATGTATAAGGAAGATAGATGAAAGTACCAGCAAAGAGAAAAGGTATCACTTAAGTTAAATCAGGTAACAGAATTCTACCTTTACTTAAAAAATACTTCACAAAAAAAATTGCATACAGTATATATACAGACAGCTTTATAATGTTTTAGACACAAAACACTTACTAGCTGCCCATAGTGAATAGTTGCTACTCCCTTTGGAGGGAAGTGTCCACTGCTACTAAAGCATAAACCCCCTGTCTGAAAAGACAAAATTAATGAGACATAAAATCTACTTTAAAACAAAATACATAAAACATGGTACAAGATAATTTTCTTCTTCCATATTTCTACAGAGACTGCTTTGTTATACTTACTAAAATATTTGGCTCTGAACAGTCACAAGACTTGCTTACATTGATGAATGTCTGTTCACATCTTATACACCTATAAGTCACACAAAAAAAATTGGATGAAGCACCTAAAGATGGAGTTAATGATGGGACTTCAAATGAAACTGATAGTAAGGTATTTACTTCTGATAAAATAGCAAAGTATTTGTTAATGTTAGATTAAAATATGTTTATTCAGTTTTGAAGAGTCCATAATTTGAACAAGTAGTAAGGACTACATAATCTCTTCAAAATCTCTCTCTCAAATTCTGGTAATGCCATTCAGCTCAAGTAAACAAGGTCAACAGTTTTTTTTATTCACAGCAAAATGCTTAGGAGAGACTTGTACCCATTCCCAATGAAGTCCACAGGAGACTATCCATTGTTTTCAATGGAAGCTGGATTGGAATCTAAAAAAAAAAAAATATTCCCATCTAATTCAACTGCCATTCATTTACCATAAAACAATATACTGTCAAGCTAAGAACTGTTTCTGCTCCACAGCCAGTTAGAAAATAAATTAGAGACTTACAAATTTAGGATCCTGGTCCTGCAGGGTGCTAAGTGGCTTCAACTCCCACTGCATGTAATGAGTTTGAGATTTCTTATTTCCCTTTTTAAACTACTACAAAGCAACAGGGATGGCCCTAGTATATTCAGTAAAACATTTCCCTATTAACCAGAAGTACTAATGATATCCAACAGGATATAGTTTTATTCTGGACAGTGTTCCATGTCAAACAGATTCTCTCTCTTATGAAGACTCATAAGACAGATTCAGTTATATCACTCTGAAGAAATGAGAGCACCTACCTATTTCCTAAGACATCTGAAGTAGAAAAGGATTGTTCACTTCCATCACAGTGTATACATAATGCTTCTTTTAACAATGTTCCATTAACATCCCTTTCCACTACATGAAAAAAATGTAAACATTGACATGTTAAACAATATTCCCTGCAGGTCAAGAACCTATGTACAAAAATAATGCTTAAAAAGAACAAGCCTAGGGCAATCCTGTTCTGATTTTCTATTTATTTCAGGCTACATTTTCTAAAAGTCTGAGGCCATGATTTAGTTAGCTAAGTTAAACACATGTATTCCTTGAATACAAGATGCGTTTTTCCAATACTGAAATATTTCTTTAAAAAATGGCATGTACCTTTAAGGTATGTAAAGATAAATACTCTTAGATACACCACTGAAATTATATAGTTCTAAATGTCTTTATCTGATTTTTTTTTCTAATTTTGAGCCAGAAAATCTAGGCATGTCTTAAATTTAAGGGTATACTTGATGAACGATAGTATTCTTCTGCTATGCAGAAGGCAGGGCAGGGTGCACCTTACAGGTTACCTCCTCCAGAGAGGCACAGACTTTTACTAGGCATTTGAATTAATTTAATTATTAGTTTTAACAATGAACTTTGGGCAGAAATGAAAAACGGTTCTTGAAACAGCATATCTGCTTCAGCCCTGACCCAGAAAGACCCCCTCTGCAGGACTGAGAAGATTATATACTAAATTATCATTTGCTTTTCTGCTGAGATGGGCAACAAAGATGCCAAATAATACCAATTAGGGGTGGTATCAGATGCGATAAAATACCTCTCAATTGGCTTGTTAGTACACATTTCACAAAGGGCATGAACAGCCATCAGACAGTAAGTTTTTTTTATTACTATTGACCTCTGTACCACATTCAAATGGATATTACAGGGATGGATAAGAATCCTACTTTTTAACTCCTCCCAGGTTAAAGTTGGAGATTTTGCTGCATTTGAATTGTTCTTAGCTTGTTCACACAATCTACCAGTTGCTGCCCCTTTGAAACATTTCCCCTTTGAACAGTCCCATGTTGACAGTTCAAAATGAGTTAGCTCTGGTATCAGAAGGAATCTTGCTCCATTAGCATAGACCTTTACAGAGGCTAATGTACTCTGTTTCTAAGACAACACAGAGCTCTGTACTATTGTGACTAGGCTCCCTCTAATATCTGAGCTACCACATTCAGTGCTTGATTAGCTATTTCTACACTACACTGTAGTGTTCAGTGCAGACATACTCTCAGAGGTGAAAGGCTCTGTATTTTAGTGAAAAAACCAAAGTTCTTCTATAATTTTTACTTTCTAATTCTGGGCAGAAGCTGTGCACATCAAGTATGCATACATCATTGCACTGTATGCCACTTTACACTGTATTGTCCTTGCTCAAAATACAAGAAAGAGCTAGATGAGAAGGGCTGAGAAATATTTTGAAAAGAAGAATTTACTGATGCTGAGGAGAAACTTCAAAACTGTCTTCAAAAGAACTGTATACTTAAAATTCTGCCGTTCCATTTCAAATAAAAGTAAGCAGTCTTAGGCAGGATTAAAACTAGAGTTGTGCAAATAATTAACTTTCTGGTTAGATGGCCCAACTCAGAGGAGAACGTGTTTTGGATTGACCCCAAATGATTATTATGTTGTTAGTATTACTGCAAGGAAAAAAAATAAAGGAAACTTCAAAATGATCTCTCTTTTCAAAGCAAAAAAACGTTTTTAACTTTTGGTCAAAATTATTCATGAAATTTGGCATGAATTAAGAAGTTTCCAAAATACATATTTTACTAAATAAGCTAGTCATCCAAAAATTTTCAGCCATCTCTAATTATGACAGACACAGATCAATAATAGCAAAGAAGTGAAGTACACAGTACTATACAGACACAAATAAGACGTATACATATTTATATTTTTAAGTGTGGTTGCAATTTTTCCCATTATTAGCATTTTACTCTTCAGACTAAATAATGATTAGATAAAACAGCTTTTCCTGCTGCAAATGTACTTTGTGGGGGCTAGAAAGGGAGACTTAAAAACCAAGATTGAAAAATGTGCATTAAAGCTTGAATGGCATCAGCCTCCTGTTTCTTATTAATTTGCTAGTTGAGCAGAATGTGTTATTTTGACCAACTCAGATATCTAAAATCAACACTAACATTTATACTACACATACATTTCTTACCTAAAATTTCATTGTTGAGGCATTTACATTTTCCTTCTGTAGTTAAGCCTTTAGGACAAGCAATACAATTCCACCCATCTTCAGTGACTCCATTCTAAATAAAGTTTAAAACAGTTATAGAATTTTTTATTTAAAAAAAAAGTCTACTAGGGCACCTGGAAAAACATCCAACATATTTAAGTCATCTGAGAGAGACATTAAGGCATTATTCAGGTTTAACAATCATAAAACTGTCTGAACTTTGTCATATTGAATGAAATAGTTTGAATGTTTGTAATGGTTGCCCATTAGCCAGTTTCAGGAAGAAGATAAGATTCATCTCCTTATCTAGGTCATTGTTTTGGACTAAGTGTGGAAGATCCAGACTTTGCTTAAAGTTTTAACTCTTGAATTTTATCTTTAGAAGTCTTTTACAAAGAGAACCTAACAATGATCCTTAAAGCAAATATCCTGAGTTCCGAGAGATCAAACCCTAGAGCCTTTTGACCAGATTGGTAAGAAAAGGTCACTTGCAGTGGTATGGAAGTTCCCCGAAGTAATTAAAATGATCAACAAAAGAAACTAATTACTAAGCAAAAGAATCTGTTGAGTAAGATCCGAGCCCAAATTTGGGGGTAATGACAGGTTTGAGTAGGAGGAGCCCAAGATGGTAACTCACTCAATAAAAACTGTAACTTACTCTCCCAAATTGGAGGTGACTATACTTGCAGAACAACAAAGGAAGAATCGCAAGTGTAGCCGGGATCAGACTGATCACCTGAACCACCCTCTCCGTGAACACGAATCTCTTAGTTCACGCTGAAGCCGCGGAGCACCTGAAAGGGACTGAAGGAAGGGGACTTAGTCCTATCACTGCTGAGGCCAGCCCATTGAATCGTATTGCTGAGGCTAGCCCAATGAACCGTACTACTGAGGCCAACCCATTAAATTGTACTACTGAGGAATGAAACCATATTTAGGTGTTTGGCTTCTCGGAATTCTAGGATTGTAAGTATATTATGAAAAATAATAGTATTGATTCGAATTTAACTTTTAGTTGTAATTGTAGTTGTTTTTGTAATACTAATTCTTATAGCATTGTTTGGGAAGGAAGTGCATTTGGAGCATTGTTTCTGATATATGTAATTATTGTGTTCTTAATGTTTGTGGTGTTTCTTAAAGCTAAGCAGTGTTATATACGTAGCAAAGAGTTTTAAAATAAAATTGTGTTGTATAAATTAAGTGTGTAATCATTGTGAAATCGTGCAATCAACTAACTACCTCCCCAGCCAGTGCATCAAAACGAATCAGTAAATTGTGTGGGATTTTCTCTATTCCATAACCCACTAGAGACAAACTTAACCAAGATTTGTTTTAGTAGGAGTCCATTCAGATGCATGGCTTTGCGTTTTAGACTCTACGTGGTGGGTGGTTTACAAAGTGACAAGTAATTAGATATAAAGGGGGCTTTAAAACTTTTTTTTTCTTTGCTTTAAAGATGTTGAATTGAATTAATCTGATCTTAAAAATAAAACAGTATTGGTTAAAAGTGATTTGTATATAATAGAAAGAAAGAATATTGTCCCTTAAAATTATGCTATAATACTTGGCTTTTGAACGTTATGTAGTACAGTTATTCCTAACCAGAGTGCCATGAGACCCTTTCAAGAGTGCCTCTTCCTGTTAGTGCTATTACAAGTGTGCATACAGGATTCACAAAATTAAACCAGATATTTCAAAAAGGAATCCAATGTTAAAAACATTTTGACCTGTTGTGGTCTTTCTGAGTTCTTTACAACCGAAGAACTGCTCTATTATTTTTCTGTAGTCAAAAAACAAACAAAAACTAAGAGCTGGCATTTTCTGAGGGGTGCCATGAATCTCTTGAAGGGTGCTATGAGTCTAAAAAGGTTGAGAAACACTGATGTAGCATTAACACATTTGATGTCCAAAAGCCTCTAAAAGCATTTGATAGTATGAGAGAATGGGCAAACCAAAAAATCATTATGAATAAGCTTATGTTTGTCTATTAATTTATTTACATTGGTTTTTATTATTTATTTGATTATTGCAATGCCTTAGAATTCTACTCAGAGACCCCACTGCAATATACACTGTACAAGCTCAGAAAGTTATTCTAATGCCTACATTAAGCATAAAGAATTTTTGTTGGCAATGACATTTTCACAGATGCACAACTCAAAGCATTTAAAACTAGGAAAGTCAATTTTTGGTATGAAAGACAATGTGTTAATACTACTTTTACATGAAGTATTCCCCATTCTGGTTATAAAGCATGAAAAATTGTTTTAAAAAAAACATAAATATGACTTGTGATGATTTGTGTCTTATAGATGCCTGCATGTAAGTTGCAAACATGAAGAAAAGACACTGCTGATATAACATAAAGTTTAATTGCTAAACTAACATTGCTAAAGTTGAGTTCTCAAGTCAAATCGTAATTACATATATTTATTTTTGATTTGTCTTACACTAACTTATTTAATGCTTTGTGAACTATTTAAAACTGAAAAAAAAAGATTGTCATGCTACATCAAAACACATAAAGCTTAATACTTACCACATTTTCAGGGCACTTTTCACAAGTAACAGATGGCCCACCATTATTAGAAACCATCTTGAATCCTGGTAAACATACACATGAAGTACCTAAAAAGCAAGGGATAAATTTTATATTACATACACTATTCCAGTATTGCATATATTTGTTAGGGTGACTGTATTTGGATCTTGGGGAACATTGAATTTGCAGCTATATACAAGGCAGCAAAGCTGCTAACCACAAGGCAGAATAATATATTAAAAGTAACATTGCAAGACGCTTAGGCAAGCATTTTCCTAACAACGTGGTAGTGTGTAGGACATATAGCTCACTGTGTAAGGAGAACAGGATGCAGCCCACCAATTATTGATAGGAGATAAAGCAGAAGCAAGACCTTGGAGATGGTGAAGAAAACAGCAAGAAACTGCAAGTGACCGAAAGAACCTGAGGTCATGGTTTTAGGCATGCGTTCATAGCAAAGACATGCAAATAAGTGAAATGCATAGGCAATTCCATGCTAAGGAAGTAAACAGTAAACAGAGGCGGAGCTTAAGATAGGAGGGAATATGGGTGGAACAAAGAAGGGACAAAGGTGGAGTTAATGTTAATGAGTATGAACCAAGGTGTATAAATGTAGAAAGAACTAATGTTCGTGGCTGCTCCCCAGTTTTTTTGGAATCTCGCCCTAAGCTGTCTCCATTTTGAATAAAGCTGTTGCTAGGAATGTGTGTTGGTGTTTGCTCTCTGAACAATTGGATCATCATCTCCCTAGTCGTTGGGCGCCGCATGGAGTCAGGGTCTAACAATATTATTTATAATATATATGCATAATTCTGGATAGAATTTATTCTAAAAGTTTTAAACATATTGCATGATGCTGGACTTCATTAAGAACATAAAAACTCATCAAAATATGTAAGCTTCCAAGACATTAAAATACTCTCAAACTCCTGATCAGCAGTATTTTTTTTTGGAAAGAGTAGTAGCCAAAGTTATGACCACCCAAAAATAACTCCTACTCAGCTGTTCATCAAAATCATGTACTTTTAAAAAATTCCTCTCTTCCCTGCTTCCTATTGATTGAAGATTAATATATTGCACTATTGTATTGGGAACACGATGTCCTAAGAATACAAATGTAAATTTAAAGTTTAAAACTATTTAAAAAGAAATGCTAACCAGAAACACCAAAAACATAGGTCTACAAACAGGGCCGTTGTTACAACAAGATGGGAAACATATTACAAATCACTGAAGTTAGATCAGGAGTGCTCAACCTGCAGCCCAAACAGCCATTGCATCTGGCCTGTGGGGCTCCTCACCAAATGGAAAATTTGTCAGAGGGGAAGCAGTAGCCATTAATATGCCAAATCCCCAAGCCTGGTCGAAGCCAGGCCACCACCATCCCTGCAGCCTGGACCATGCCTCCTTCCCCCTTCCCACACTCCCTTTCCCCCCCGCAGGGCCAGACTGGGGCTGATCATGCCTCCCCAATCATACTCCTTCCCCTCACAGGGCTGAGCCATGGCCCCCACGTTTCCCAGGTGGGGCTGGGTCACGCCCCTTCCCCCTGCAGGACCGAGCCATGCCCTCCCATGAAGCCTCTTTCCCCTTTTTGCAGAACCAAGCTTGAGCTCGGCTACAATCTGTCCCCTCCTCCTGGACCAGTGGTGTCTGCCCCTGGGAGCTGGATAGGAACTACTATCCAGGAGCAGCAGACCAGGCATTGCCCATGAGCTCCCACAGGGAAAAATGTTGAACACCACTGACCTAGACTGTTACATAAAAATAATACATCAAAGTTTCCTGGGTCATAGAACCATAGCTTCTCAGTGCTGGAAGGGACCTGAGGTCATCTAGCAAAATACAGGCCACAGGCCAGATCCAGCCCAAAGGATTCTATCCGGCCTGTGGCAGGTTCCTTGGCCCTGCTAGCCCAGGAGCCAGCCCAGGCACGCATGGCAGGGCAGTGGCGGAACAGCAGCCAGACTTGATTTCCTGGCAGCCTCCATGGCAGGCTGCTGCTGCCTGCATCTCTGCTGCTGTCACCACTGGTGGACCCAGCCCCACTACCTGGGCACCCTGGTGCATCCACTGACAGGGATGCTGGATGGAGCAGCTGGGCGGGGTCTCCATGGAGATCAGCCTGGGACCCCCCACAAGCAGGCTATGCTCAGCTGGGTGGATGGGATGGGGCTGCAGGCAGGCAGGAAGCAGCGTCTAGGAGCAGGATCGGCAGGCAGGGCTAGGGCTGGGATCACGGGGCAGTGACAGTGCGGGGTCAACTGTGATCTGCTCCCTGCATGTCCCTGTTCCTCATCGCAGGGATGTGCAGGGACTGGGTCATGGCTCTGCCTTGTGCCCTGCCCACCCTTCCCTCTCCAGGACACTACTCCCCACCCACCTGTGGTGACCTCCCATTTGTCCAACGCAGTGCAATGAATGGTCTCCATGGAGAACTTGCCTGCCTGCTCACATTATCTGGCACCCCCAGCAGAGGGTGCAGGGTGGACGCCGGGCTGGACAGGATCAACTGCCTCCCCTCCCCTCCAGCACCTCACCAAAACTCCCTAAAGAGCCCTCCAGCCCGAATCATTGTCCCCCTTCCCCCAGATTAACCCATCCCTACTCAGTGCCTGCCTATTCTGCTCTCCCAACTGCACATAGATAGAGGCTATGCTGTCGCTGTGGGCCACCTGCTCATTGTTGCCAAGAGTATAATTATCATATTTGTACGATAATTTCAACCCTTGTATGATCTATAACAGCAAAAGTCTTCAAAATGTATGATAATTTTTGAGGCAGCTAATTGATGCAGCAAATTCTAAACCCAAGTCACTCTCAGGGAGTTTCAACCGACTTTAGGATTTGCTGCCAGCACTTTCTTATGACCAAGGATCCTGGTTTTCCCTGATTTAATAAATAAATAAAAAATCTGCAATTTCTCTGATAAAACACCCTGGAAAATCTGCGTTTGAAATGAAAGGCCACTCATCCCCCCAATCCTGCTGGTGCCCCTCATTCCTCCCACGGTCCCCTGGCCCTGCTTGTGCCAATCACTGCCACCCCCACAGCCCCACCCAGCCCTGGCAACGCATCCCCAGCGCATGTGGCAGCAGCGAGGGGCACAATGCCATGGTGCTGCCCCTGCTGCTGCCTTGTGCAGAGGGCATGTCACTAGGGCAGCGCGGATCTCGCAGCAACAAAGAGATCCCTGCATGGCCCCTGCCGTTCCCTGAACCACTGGTTCGCACCTGCTGGGCTGCAGATGCCCCAGGGAAGGGCAGCAAGGGAGCCTGAGCCTGCAGTGTGCAGCCTGCACCCACCCTGCTATATATCTTGGTGGGGGCACAGCTCCTCCCTGTTTCCTGGGAGTGTGCGTAGCGGCAGGAGCTGGCCTTACCCTGCTCACCCGCCAGACAAGCTGTGGCCTCATGCTACTCCCCACCAAGGCCCTGTGGCCACGCACTGCAGCCCAGGGCCACATGCCCCATGCGCTGCCCGGCTGGGACAGCAGCACCAGCCCTGCCCTCCCTATGGGAGGCCTCTATTCCCCCAACCCTGCACCTACTCCTAGGAGCTGCTCTCCAGGCTGCCCAGCAACTATGTGCGCACACACGCACACGCTGCCCCCTGCCTGACCGCCCTCCTCCCACCTGCCCCAGCCCGCCTGCAGAGCGCTCTTTGCAAAACTGCAAAATCTTCAGGTTTCTCTGATAAACATGAGAGATCCATGTTTTCCACCGGTAAAGGGGAAAATCCGTTGTTTTCTCCGTTTTCCCACAGGATCCCTGCTTACAACTGCTTGCCTCGAAATAAAGAAATGCTTCAGCGTTGATGACCCAGTTCTTGCTCGCTGCCTGGCTAAGTTACAGCGAACAACGTAAAGTAAGAAGGCTTATTTACATACTTATGTGCATATTTTCAGCATACAATCGTTTTTCAACCAATACAATAATTTTGAGCTTCCAACAGGATCATTTCGTATTTAAGACCCGGCAACGCCGTGCCGCTGCGGCGCCCTCCCGGGCAGGACCTGTTCTCCCCTCTCCAGCAGCTCGAAGCCGCGGCGCCCCAGAGACGTCTCATCTCCAGGGCTCCCCCGACGCGCTCAGGGGCCGGGGCCGGGGCCGGGAGCCGCACGGCAGCTCCCCCGAGCC